CGTTGCTGGCTGTTCCTGCACTTGTGCACTGGGGCCGTGATGACCAGCTTGGCGCAGGCCTCGATGGCGCTCGGCACCGGCCTCTCCTCTTGTCCCCACTCACTTTAGGCCTGCGGTGGAGTCCTCGCCTCTCCCGGGGACGCTGCAGTTCTCCAGGGTCCGAAGGCCGGAGAAGTCCAGGGATGCGAGGTTCCTCAGCTTCTGCTCACCTGGCGCTGGAACTTGCAGCAGCCGGCGAGGTGGCCTCGGGAGACGACCAGGTGACCTGGTCTCCCGACAGGCCCGTGTTGTAGAGCACTGTCCTTCCACCAGGAGAAGCCCAGGGCCACACAGGCTGCAGAAGCCCGCAAGGGTGCAGTCTCTCACCGGCACCAGGCAGGTAGGGCTCACCAGGCCCTGTTCTCCAGGGACCCAGGGTGTGGCGCGGCAGTCGGTCAGGTCCAGCTCCACCCGGTCCCGCTCGCGGGGACCTCCGGGTCCTGGTCCTGTAACCACGTCCTTGCGCAGGTGGATCTGAGTGAGGTGTGAGCTGCCAGGCTCCGTCCCAGAAGAGGCTGAAGAAGCTCTCGTGAGGTTTAAGGTGCAGGTGGCGTTGATCAACTCCGGCCAGTGGCAGACCTCGCTGGGCAGGAAGATGTGCGGGTGCAGCCGCAGGGTCTCCTTGTCCAGCAGAAGCCCAGCGTGCCATCCAGGTGGCCCTAAAACTTAATGGTTTAAGACAAGAGCAGCTGTTTATTTCTCCTGATCCTGTGGGTCCTGGGAGGATCAGGTGGGCAGTTCCCTGATTTCACCTGAAAGTTTTCATACCATTGCGGTCAGAGGGTAACTTCAGGCAGCAGAGGCCTTGGGACTCCAACGCTGGTTCAGGGCCTCTCACCTCGCAGAGACCCTGCACGGGCGCCCTGTGCCAGTGGGGTGACCTGGACCTCTTACGTCATGGCTTGGGCCTCTCAGAATCAGGAAGTCTGGGCATTAGGACTGTTAAGCCGTGGGATCTGAAGTTTCAGAGTCTCCTCTGTCACCGCGTTCTGCTGATCAAAGCAGTCGGGACAAGGCCCAATCAAGGAGGGGAAGCCAGGAGTCAGCTTCCCCTCCCGAGGTGGGGAACGGGACAGACTGCAGGCGCCGCTGCCCGACGTGGAGTCACGGCCTGTGGCCGTGAGAGGCCTGCAGACGGTGCGTTCTCCACGCGTGGGTGTCGGCTCGTCTTCACAGGTTAGGGGAGGCTTCCTTGTGAGTCCACACAGGAGACGCAGGGATGCGGGGAGGATTGCGGGAGGCTTTGTCGGAGAATAGCACATGTACACATGTATAGGTGAGGAGACAGTCACTGGGATAATAATGAAAAATTTAGTAGTCTTCAGAACTGATATTGCTACTTTCAAGTAATGGGAAGACGAATGACATGGACACAGATCTTTCTGCAGGCTGATGCCTGTATTGGGAGCGTGATCTTGAACAACAGAGCCGCGTTTCTCTAACTCGGAGCCACAGTGGGCGTAGAAAGAAAATGGTAAACACTGAGCTGGAGGAATTTTCTGTTTTTATCAGATTTCAGATTTTGTTCTCGTAGTTGAACGAAGGCAGACTAATTGCAGTACACATATTTGAATACAGGACAAATAATAAAAGACAGGCATAGAAATGGCTTGGGAATTTTGCTTTCTAGATAATCAAGCTTTGTGGAGTTCAGGTTTATGGCAACTTGGATCATATTCCTCAGCATTGAGTTGAGAGCTGAGAGCTTAGAAATTTCCATACATATCTTCTGTGAACAAATCCACCTTGGCCTTACGGTCATTATGTATCATATGAAATAAAAGTCTTGAGTGGAAAGGCAATCATTACGATTGCTTCTACTTTGGAGTACAAATAACAATCCATTCCAGGTATGTATGCAGTAAATAATCTTATTTTCTTTTAGTACCATAGTTGGTTACTGGCCATATCAGTAATGATATGAGGAAATGCAGTGAAGTATGTGTGTTTTAACTTTCAAGTTCTTTATTATATTAGGGTAGAAGCTAAGTTCCTGTCAAGCCCACACATTGTCATTATTTTGGCACTTGTAAATTAGTTTGTAGAAATAACATTTCTCCTGCCTTAGTCTTTTTTGTACCCCACATTCTTCAGCTATTAACTTTATTCCAAGCTTTTCATAACCCTCATTCACTCATTTGTTCATAGGGTTCCACCAATGAGTGAGACCCTGTCAAAGTGATGTTTGCACTACAATCTCCAACATGACAAATCAACCTACTGCAGATCTGGTGGGAGAGAGCTCCGACAATAGACGCAAAGACCCTGAAAAGGAAATAAACCCTAAGGTGTCCACGGATCCAAAAGGAGGTCATGCTGAAGGAGATGGGGCTCTGACGCTGTAACAGAGCTTTGCGTATTTTTCAGAGCTGGAGAGGAAGACAATAGTTATGTTTTGAGCAGGGCGGTGACATCCCTGCGAGGATCATTTCAGCTTCTGAGAAGAGAAAACTTAACCATAGAACAGCAGAGGTCAGAAGGAATCCGGGAAGTCCACAGTGACGACGTGGCGTGGACTGGGTAGAGAGGGACTTAGTGAGAAGAGTGGTACTTTTTGCTGCTCCTCCCCTGCCCTCCCATCTCACCTGTGCTCCTGTTCTTGTTTTTGTTAACTTAGTGTAACAGTTGGTGAGTGCGTATTGTATCTTGGTGTCAGGTTTCGTTGCCTCTGTCACCTCTAGTTCCCTTTTCTCTATCCTTTACTTCCTCGTTATTGCTTCTTGACCCTATTTCTCTTTCATTTCCTCTGTAGTGAGGCCTTATAAAGTTCAATTTGCTTTCCTTCACCGATAGACCTGGATTTCTAATCTTTTCTAGGCTAAGGGAGCATATGAAGAGTCTAATTTAGCCGGACTAGGTAACTAAAAATATTATGACCTAGACTCGCCCGATTAGGTGCCTGTAGAATAGATTTGCATCATAGCACTGACTGGCAATGAAAATGCTTCATCTAAAGGAAGCTGCGAGAAGATGACATGTCTGTCCTGCACGTGGAACCAGGTGAGACGCTAACTCCATTTTAATTTGGCTGTGTTTAGTCTTGTTTGGTGTTGAGAATGAATCAATGAATGAATAAATTAGTGAATGAAAAAATAAAAACAATGCAAGAGAGGATTTTGTAGTCTGCACAAAATGATAGCTGTCTGTTGCTATGTGCACAGCTAGGAAAATTTATAGCTTAGTAACTTTCACATCTCTGACTGATACTTGGGACCTATGTGGAAAAATGTGACAACTGGCCTTCCTTCCTTCAGAGAGAGAATGGGCATCTTTGAAGATAAACTAGTTCTGGGCTGGGGATTTAGCTCAGCGGTTCGGTGGCCTGCCTTGCAAGCACAAGGACCCAAGTTCGATCCCTGGTACCAAAAAAACCGAAACAAAAGATAAACTAGTTCCTAACTTGTCTCTGATCTGGTGCTGCTCTATAGAGACTTCCCTGATAAAAAACTGAATTGCTACATTAGTCGAAACTTCTCTCGTTCCAGTCATTACTTTTGAGAGGTAGCAACTCAGGCGCCGACTAGATTTCCTAGAAGAGTGAAGGATCTGTGGCACAGGAGTTGGGGACACCAGGAGAGCAGGACCGGAGTGGGGGACTGAAGCTGAGACCCAGAAACCAGGCCTGTCTTCGGAATGTGCACTTGTCAGAATTCCTGTGGCTAACTGTTGCACAAATCATGTTTTTAACTATATTATTGTAACACTTAAATTTTCCCTAGGGGCAAACTGAAGGTCACATAATACTTCCCCTTAATCATAGGGTTTGGCAGCAGAAAAGTGTCCTGCAGGGTGAATAAATAGTGTGCCACTGGTTAAGGAAAGGAGGAGCTCCACAGTGCCTTGTAGAGATGGGGACAGGTTGCACCCCTGCATGTTAAAGATGGGGACGTCATTTTGACACAGTGACCACACGATGGACGAATTCACCTCCGTGCAGTTTGGCTTGTAAACTCACATTTTTAGGTAAAGAGTTTTCCAGTTTTGTAGATGAAGTGACTCAGCAGCCCCTCAATTAAATCATTCCTTAAATTTTATTTGTAGGTTCCGGGGTTTAGAGAGAGAGCCAGCATAAAAGAACACAGCATCTTTCCCTTAGAGGTGGAGGAGAATAGAGGATGTGTGAACTAGGGGGAGCAGAGCCTCTGACTTGGCCTCTATAAAAGGGCTGCCAAATCCATGCTGTTGCTTTTTCAGTGCAGTTGTACAGATGGTTGCAGAGAGACAAAGCAAAGGACACACCCTTTTATGAAAATGTGCATCCCCCATTACCTGTTCACACTTTATACATTCCACTGTTTATCCCCTCCCTATCCTATTATGAAAGAAAAAGTTAAGGTAGTCAGCAGAGAGTTGAACGAGATTTGAGTTGCTGCTTTTCAAAAACTTTATTTTAGACCTTGATGAAAAGCAGTAGCAGCCGAAGGGAACAGCCGACTACTTGATTTTTAAAATGTGGCTCTTAAGTAAACTACTGTAGTACGCACGGGGGTGGGGTGGGGGAAAAACAGTGTCTGCAGAACGGCTAACTCCTATTGCAGGTGACAACAAGCTACCGGGTTAGCCAGTGTGACTGTTGTACCACCCCGGGAGTGTTAGGGGCTTTCCCCCAAAAACACTCAGATTGTTAAGTGTACTCTTAACACCATCTGTGGAATTGTTTTGCACAAGTAAACCACATGCTAACACAGTGCTCACTTTGAGAGAACTCTCCAAACATCACAAGGACTGTTCCAAAGTCCAGACCATTTCCTGTCTCTGTCAGAGAGCAAATAACAACAAAAGACTTACTCCAAATACAAGTCAAACAGAACGTTGGAGAACCTCCACAGTAATTTGCTTTGCACAACAACTAGAGGAAATTTTAGGCGTAACCTGCAGAGAGCAGTGCATAAACCCCTTGTACTTAGGATGTACTTCCCAAGTTACACAGGAAGACAAGGTAAACATTTACCTAAGAAATGGTATGAAATTGCTAGCAGAAACTCTCCCCTCCTTTAAGCCCCAAATTAGCTAGGGTCTGACTCTACCCAACACCCGGAGGGCTTGAGTGTTACAAATTATCTCATCCTTCGGTTTAGAGAAAACAAAAATTTAGCTTTTCCACTAAAATACTTGTAATTGTTGACCTGGTAGAATGAAGGTAAGAGTAGATATGCATGGAAGATAGTTGCTGTTATTTCTGATTGTTTTGTGTTTTTTGTGACTCAAGTACTTGTAAGTGGGGTTCTAGCACAGCGGTGAGCAGGTACAACTGTATGTCTTTATTTAGTATTTTTCTGCTGAAGAGCATGAATGGCCATTGTGGGGCTTTGCAGTATGTATGTGACTCCTGGGTAATTGTTACAGTGCCATAAAAGCATGGCATGCATTTGGTTATACCTTCATGTATGGGCTATAAAATTAAAGTCTCCCCAGAGTTTCTTTCTAGTATTAACTTTATTTTTTTATTTTTCTTTTTTGAGACAAGGTCTTTTGCATAGTTGAGACTGACCTGCAGTTCACTCTGTAGCCCAGGCTGGTCTCGAACTCATAGGATCCTCCTGCCTCAGCCCCCCAAGTGCTGGGATTACAGGTGTGGGCCACCATGCCCAGCTTCTAGTATTAACTTTATTGCAACCATTGCAGATAGCAACAAAGCTCAGGGTACTGGCTGTAACCACTCCATCCCTAAATAAGGTAAAGTCACAATGATGAGATATGTTATCGTATTGGATCAGGACTCATTCTGGCTGTGACATATTGCCCAGTGCATACTGGGCATATAAAACAGGGAATGGTAATTCATCTTATGGTGAAGGTATGAACCTAAAGTCCAGAGAAGGGTAAACCCATGTGCACCCAATGAGTTCCATGAAACATAGAATGTCAGAGATGTTTCTGTGACAGTTTGGAAATATCATTTCTGATCCCCACAGCTACAGTCTTTAGAGGAAAAGGACGTCCACATCATATTCTTTATAGAGAAAGGTCACGTGTAAATAAGTTTGAATAAAGAAGAAACAGAAAGGTTAGCTACTAGCATTACAAATGCTAGTATATAAAATTGTATGTAGAAACTTAACCTTATATGTAGAGAAAATGAGCATTTTATTTTGTTATATTGTTACATCTGTTGACTCTTTTTTTCTTTTCTGTTGGTAAATGACATTCTAGTATCTGGTGTCTCATGCCAGTTAAAAAAATGAACTCTTGTTTATTGCTATTTAAAAAATATTTGGAAACTAATGCTGAAGAGTCAGTGTGTTGCCTAATAAATCCACTGTATAGACAGAAGTGGAGTGTCAGCCTTGTACCAGGTCCTCACTCTGAGGAACATGGATTACGTAGTAGGAGATGGCTTGATTCTCTGAGGAGCTCCATGAGGAGCACATGACTCACAGTGGAGGATTTCATCATCTCAGGAAATTGTTATTTCTTTTGTTGGAGAAATTTAAGATTAGATTTTAAATCAAGGTGGAGTTGCTCTTTGCCTCGTATAAGGTATTGCTTCGGGGAGAATGGTCATGTTTATTAGAACAATGCTAGAAGAAATCTTATTAATAGTTGAGTATGAAGTCCATATTTTAAGTTCTTTGGGAGAAAAGGAAAGATTGGCCTCCAGTGCGGTCAAGAGTAGCCTTTTAGATGAATTTAGTGTGCTTTGTTTTTATTATGCTACTAACTAACTCTGTCCTTCCCTTGAAATATGTACTGTTTTTGTGCAACTAATGTGGTTGGAGTTCCATCCAACATTTTAGTAATACTTATTAGTGCCAATCTTAGTATAGCTTGATAAGTCAAACTTGTTGCGAATCATTTGCAGTTGTGACACACAACTGATCAAAACTCAATGTTGTTATTGAGTTGACAGTCTCATGGAAATACCTGGCCTGGGAGCTTGGGTGTGACTATTATGGAGAAAGGAAAACCAAAAGAATTACAGTAGAGTTCTATAAAACTGTAATCTTTGGCAGTTATAAAAGAGATTTCCTAAAATATGTTTCATTTTATTGCAATAATTTTAATTTCTCTTTTTTTATTTTTATAAAGTCCTCTTACCTGTAGTTTAAGTGTATTTAAATATTTCAATCAAGGCTCAGTAGCAGATAACATGAACCTAGTTTCATTACAAGTTTGAAATGATCCACCATCCAAATTGAGTTCATGGGTGATGCCTCCGATGCCTGAAGTTCATGGCTGAACAGAAACATTGCTAGGAGGAATACTAATGGCAGGATTTTAGTTCAGAAGAGATTGGAAAATGATTGAGGCTCAGGAAAAGAGCCAGCCAGGAAGCAAAATGACAAGCTGAAGGTGGAGTAAGGCTGTTGTAGGACTGAAACATATCCTTCCAGATTGACTCGACTGTCTTAAACTGTGATATATTGGGAGCAGTGGAGTCGTAAGATTTTAAGCCTGAAGCTCACTGTCTTACGAGCTTGGTAATTAGCAGCGGCCCTGCTCTTGACTGACCGCTACACAGGGGCTCTCCCAGTGTCAAGTTGAGCTGTTCCAGGATTGGGAATGGATCAGCGAAGAGGCTGCTGGGCTCCTGCAGCACATGAACCTTGTGTGGTATCGTGGGAAGCTTGTGTTGTCTTATCTCTAGCCCATCACATAATGCATGGCAGGCATGACAAGTTATTGTATTTATTAATGTATTTAATAAATAGTTATTAAGATCTTTTTGCAACCAAGTATTTGGGAAATATGGTGGTCTCCACAGCCTGATACCTGAACCATAGAGTTTGCAGTTCAGTATATGTTAAATTTATTAGCTTTTAATTTTTCATTGATTTAATTTTCTTTATTTTGTTCTGAAGTAATAGGAAACTTTGATTCATTGTTAATTATGACATTTGTTCTGTGTTTTCCATTTTATTAGAGTACAGGTTCTCAAAGTAGGTGTTAATGATCCTCTGGATTTCTGTGGGATCTATCATGACTTCACTTTTTCCATTCCTGATTGCATGGATCTGAGCCTTTTCTTTCCTTTTTTTTTGATAAGGTTTGCTAAGGGT